AACGGGTGAGAACGTCTCTACATAGTTCACGCCATACTTCTGGGAGCACCCTTTAGCAACGAGTCGTGCCTTGAAACGTTCGACTTTTCCATCAGAGTCACGTTTCAGGCTGTATACCCACTTGCAACCAACTGCTCGCTGATCTTTTGGTAAATCAGCCATCTGCCAGGTTTCGTTTGATTGTAGTGCCTGATATTCCTTTTGCATCGCCTCTTGCCAGAATACTGCATGTGTGCTACCAACGGCCTGATCATAGGATGTCGGAACCATTACGTCACTAGCAACCAATGCTCCAAGCACATTGTATTGCTTTCTTGGACGACCAGGTTTACCATTTCGAACAATTTTAGGCCGGCCTGGCCCAATCTTCACAGTATCCTCGTCAGAGTCTTCTTTTTCGACTGCACTCTCATATGCGTTGGAGCTGCTGTCGTCAGAACTGTGCTCACTGTCATCGTCGTCGATGCTTCTGTCACCATCCGTGTGAGTGACATGCTCTTGAACCTCGCATGCAGGAAAATCTACCGTAACGGTATCTTCATTGGTATGACCACCACAACGCTCATCAAATAGAATGTCTCGTTTTTCGACAATCGTCCTCGTCTCTGGGTCGTATAACCGATAGCCTTTGGCTGCTACCGAATACCCAACCATACGGTACTCATGCCCTTTGGGTTTGAATTTGCCTTTACGGGGACCCTTTGCAAGTGCAACTGCAATGGAACCAAAAACTTTTAGATGGCTAACACAGGGTTTCTTACCTGTCCACGCTTCCATTGGAGTCAGGTTGTTCAGTGCACTGGTAGGTGATCTGTTTCTTATGTATACTGCTGTGTTGACTGCTTCGGCCCACAAAGACTCGCCTAGGCCCGACTGCACCAATAAGCATCTGGACATCTCCGTTAATGTCCGGTTTGCTCTTTCCGCCACGCCGTTCTGCTGCGGAGTATAAGCCACGGTCAATTGCCTTGCAATACCATGGTGTTTCAGGAAACCGTTGAATGTTGTGTTGACAAACTCGCCTCCATTGTCGGTTCGAATACATTTGAGCTTTTTATCTGTTTGCCGTTCAACCAAGTTTTTAAATTCGACGAACTTACTGAACACTTCATCTTTCTTCCGCAAAAAATAAACAAATATACGCCTGGACTTGTCATCGATGAAGGTCAGAAAGTATTTGGATCCAGCAAGTGACTTCGTGTCGAATGGGCCGCATACATCAGCATGAACCAGTTCCAACAGCTCTTCGGCACGGTTAGTGCTTACCTTTGGGAATGGCTGTACATGTATTTTGCTTAGCATACACGTTTTGCAATTCAAGTTGTCTGGGAAAAAAAACTTTTCCAATACCACGCACTAGCTCTTTGCTGATCACTTCCTTCAGACTGGTAAAATTTAAATGGCCATAACGCTTATGCCACAATGTACCATCTGATTCAGTTGCGGAATAACACCTATTTTGTTTGCCTTGAAACATATAAAGGTTCCCAACTTTATTCGCTTTCAGTATACACTCGCCGTTTTGTATAACTTTAGCAAAATGTGGCCCAAAATGTATAACATTGTTCTTTTGCACTGACCGGCTGACGGACATAAAGTTGCCATTCATTTTCGGTACATACAGTACATCTGACAACACCAAGGTACAAAGTTCTGTCTGTAACTTCACCTCTCCTCTGCCTTCGGCCTTCAGGAAACCAGCGTCAGCTAAACCGATCATTTCAGTGTGCGCAATAAATTTTGAAAATAACGTCTTATCGCAACACATATGGCTTGTTGCTCCGCTGTCCAGACACCACATGTTGTTCTCTATCTTTCCAACGTCCAACGCATTTAACAAGCTGCTCTGCTTTTCCATCTCTTTCTTTGTCGATTGCTTTTTCCCTTCACCGCGAATTTTCTCACGCTTGCACTGTGCCTTGTAGTGCCCTTTTTCGCCGCAGTTGTAGCAAACGACGATTTTTGAATTCCTTTTTGAATTCGCTTTGGAATGCGCGACGATCTGCTGCGTAGCTATAAATGCTCTTGCATTCTCGCTCTCTCCATCTGCATTGCCTCTGCGCTCTCCCTCTTCCATCAGCTTGATACATAACACATCAAATGACGGTAAATTGTCACGCGTCTCAATGGCGACGACAAAATTTTCGTATGGTTCGGGCAAGCTTGACAACAACACGATTGTTTTTAACTCATCATTTAATTCGATGCCAACTGTACACAAACCATCCAGAATTTCGTTAAATTCGTGTATGTAACTTGAAATGCTTTGGCCTTGAAACATGCGTTTGCCTAGCAATTTCTTGTACAGCGACACTTTCCGTACAGGTCCACTCGGCTGATGAACGTCCTTTAACTTTTTCCATGCCTCGTACGAAGTGTTGCAATTTTTAATGAAGCCCAATTGTGAAGCTTTTACACTTAGCGTTATAATTGCTAATGCCTTTTCATCTTTTGGCCTTGAACTCTCAGTATTACTAGGTTCAGCACCTGATGCCACACTCCACAATTCCGCGTGCACTAAGACAGATCGCATCTGTATGCTCCATGAGTCATAGTTATGCTCTTCCAATTTGTCTATTTGATATAGCGCACTCATTTTTTAAATGTTATATTTCTTGAGTCACCAAACGATTACTATTTCACAATACTTTGAACTTCTCCTATGAGCCTATATGCCCTGGGCCCATAACCTATTGAATAGATTATATATTCGCTGAAAAGGGAAGGGCTCAGTAGGAGTAAAGTAAAAGACAATAGTCGCGGACCGCCGTGCGTCTGTTCGCTTTAGAGTTTTATTGGAGACTGACACTTTTGCTATACATATTCTTTATGCTTACATTCGTATGCAACAGTGACAGATAACTTGTAGATAACATAAGATTATTATCTGCTTATATTAACATGCGTGCATTGGTACTTATGTTTGTATTGATTTTCAACAGTGATACATTTTTTTTTTTTTTTTTGCTCACCCAGATTAATACTTAGAATCAAGCTCAATGTAGACTTTGTAGACTTTCATTACGTATTTATCGTTTACTTCTAATACGTTCCATATATACTTATAATTGACAAATATGCCAAGTGAAAGAATTTTCTAAATCACTGTAATTTAAGAAGGGCCATAAAATTCAATATCGAACAATCTTTTAGCGATGACTGGAATCGCATTTCAAAGCGTTTGTTACTGCAATTGGTTCTTCGCTTTGCATTGCCGCAGCGCCTCGTTGAATCCTTCGCAAAGCGTCAAATCAGCCTGATCCTGAGCGCACTGAAGAAATTGTTTGATTTCCAAACTGCAGGCACCACCCAAATCATTTCCTTTCTCTGCTGACTGCCCCAATGGAGTCGACTGTGGTGCAGTACTTGTATTTGATATTTCCTTCTCACCAGCCCCGCTGAATAAGGAAGTCAAACCATGGCCGACAGTATGACCAACCGCTGAACCCACGGCCACACCCCCAGCAGTGGCTGCCATCTGTTGCATCATCGAAGGCTGCTCTGGCGCCTTAACGGGAGTGGCTTGCAGTGTCGGTGCTGGTTTTGTTGGCTGTGGTGCTGGCACATTGGAAGTTGAGGCTGGAGTTGTTGGCGCACTGCGTCTTACTGTAGGCGGAGGGCTAGTCGAACGTCCACGACGCACCATTTTCTATTACTTTTAATTTAAATAGTTTTTATTTCCAAAAATGATGTGTTTTACTGGTTTTCAAATATAAAATTTTGACAGTTGGCTTATTATATTTTCGAAATTCCAAAACATTTTTGTAATAGAAGTTGCAGAATAATGTTGTGAAGAAATTGTTTGATTTCCAAACTGCAAACTCCACCCAAATCGTTTCCTTGCTGACTGCACCAATGGAGTCGATTGTAGAGCAGTATTTGATGTTTCCTATTACTACCTGAAGGTTAAAGTTAAGAAAGATACTTGAAATTCTTATTTATACTATGTAGGTATAGATAATAGATACAACAGAATTTAAGACCGACTTTTACTGTCCTGATTTTAAAAGATAAATTAAAACTACAAAGCAGAACAAAGGTAGACATGATTGCCGATTGAAATAACTCCGAAACTAAGAGCAAGCAAATGGAGAAAGAGAATACCCTTTGGTGTCGGGCATATTGACCTACTTTTTCAAGCAACTTAAAGATTTTATTTAAAGTTTAAGCAATTGGACTTTTTTTTTTGTCGAGACAACCATTTATTATTGAAACTAAAAAAAATATATAAATCAAGTCAAGTATTTGGTAATTATTGGATGTGGTTAAGAGGAATATAAACTCAAATTTTGACAAATCAGAAAAAACATAAAATACTGAATATTATTTGTATGCTTCTTTATTGTGTACCCAATAGTTACAAGTGTTGAATATAACCTTATCGGAGCAAAATAATTTTTTAAAGCCCATCCATCAGTAGGCCAATTAAAAAGATCGTGGTCTTGAACTGAGCATAGTTATTTTAATTAAAAAACTTGTTTACAATGAGTCAACATCAATCCACAAGAGCTCCCACGGATCACAAAATTGTTTCCTAGACCTTTCTCAATTTGATTTATTTACTTTTTTATACTCACTTTTTAGTTGCCTTTCTAACTCGGATACTCCCCAGCACATACTCGTGCATATAGTACTCGTATGTACGACTTTATTATTGTTATTGTCATCGTCATTCACTTCTTCTTGTGGGTTTAATAAAAGCGCAGGTCATGTAACTTTTACTTTTTAAGCATTTTAAGCAAACAAAAGACGTCAACTTGTCACGTTTGGCACTGCATGCCACGTACCGAATGATAGACAATGACAGAAATTGCGCAATGTGATCCATTTGTAAATATTGGAGCTCTATTTTCCGATGCTTCCAACTGCCACGCACGTCTATTTGTGCAAGTGTACCCAATTTATGGTGCCACATACTATTAAATTACCCATTTGTAATAAAGTTACCCTAGCACTAATGGCTATTTCTTGTCCTCCCTATCTCTCTTTCTGGTCTATAGTTTGCGCCATAGTCGAGTACGAGTATGCGGCCAAGGAGCCGGACGAGTTGGATCTACATAAAGGTGCCATCATACATCGCATTAAGCAGATGCCGGGCGGCTGGTGGCAGGGCACACTGAAGGCCAGCGGAAAGACGGGCATGTTTCCGGATAACTTTGTGCGCGTGCTGGACTCCCAAAGCACCAACAACAGCAGCAACAGCAATGGGAATCACAGTGGCGACGACAGCTCATCGGTGCAATTGAGGTGAGTGGGTGGATATAACGGTTAAGACCAGGGATGCAAGATACACGTGTGTGGGAACATTTCAAAATTTTCATTAAAATTTAAAAAATTATTCTCTAGGCTTAATAAAAAATAACATTGAAAAATTAGTTGTTAATAATAATAATTTATTAATATTGTATAAATTAATCAATTTAATTTTTAATTTTATAATAATTATGTAAACAATGTATAAAATTTTTTTTTTTTATTATTTAATTGAAGCTTTCTTTACCAGATTTAAATATAAATTCTTAAACAACCCCTTTTCCTAAGATATATATTCCAGCTTTTATTTTTTAAAATATACGAGTATATCGTTGAAATGAACAACTAACTTTTAAAAATGTATTGCTAAAATTTGAACTTTTGGTTTTTTTATCAGTCGTGAAATTTATGTTTGTTTATCTCTGGATATTATTGATAATGCTTCAGTTCGATTCGATGATGATAAGATATTTGTTGTTGACTTTGATTAGATACTGATATACTTTATGAATGATTGTCATCCCGAAATTAAATAAATTAAAGTTAGTCATTGAATAATCATGCCCTATATTGGAAAGGTAAAATGATATACTAGAATGTCTAGAATGGCCTTTATTTATCAGTACATATACATGGATATAATTAACAAGACGAGCCGAATTTTGATATAGACCGTCCGTCCGTATGAACTTCGAGAACTTTTGAACCATAACAGCTAGGGGCATACTAGTTGACGGGCAGACTTGTCTTATCTAGGCGCATATCAAGTTTTTTTTTTTTTAACTATACATAGCTTCATTATTTTCTATAATTGTCATAGAGCCAATCGGTTAAAAATTGCTCTTAGTAGCAAAACGTATCTTATCTGAAACGTTGTAAGAATCGCTTCACTATATCATAAAGCAGCCATGGAATTAATTTGTAAAATAAAGTCAATTTATTTGAATGACTGTACGGTGGCTACAGGCTATATAAAAATCTTGTTGGCATGATTTAAATGTTCTACTTGTTTTATTTTCCATTATTATTTAAAATCACATTTCCTGTAATTTGGTCACAAAAGCTTTAGTTCGATTAGATAACGGTACGATATTAACAAGTGTGATTAGAAATGCTTTCCACCCCTGGCCCAGTGAGTGACGCAATTATTGAATATTCTTACCAGCAACGCTCTCTTAAATCTTTACGCTCCCGTTTGTTTGCTCTTGTCGTCTGACTGTCTCCCTCTCTGTCTCTGTTCTGTGCATTTCAGGGACAAATCGGAGACGTCAAATCGGCGCTGCAAAGTCATCTATAGCTACACACAAGTGAACGACGACGAGCTGACGCTGGCCGTGGGTGATGTCATTGAATTCCTAGGGGAGGTATGTACAGAAAACGGCTCTGCTGCGCTCGGGCCAACGCCAACCCCCCATTTAACCTCTTTGCCAATGCTAAGTTTTGCGCGCCCCATAACAAAAATAACAGAAACGACAAAAGCAGCAGCAACAAAAGTATAAGTGATGGGGCGCCAAAGTCGCACAAACAACGATAACTGAAAATGAAATTTTATATTTTGTGCCACTACCAGTTTATTCCATATTCTGTTTTTACTTTCTGTCGCACTCTCGCGGCTCATTTAGGTCGAGGAAGGCTGGTGGCGCGGTCGTCTGCGCACAAAAGTCGGCGTATTTCCTTCAAATTTTGTCCAACATATCGAACCATCGCCTATATTGGCATCCAAGCGGCCGCCAACGATTGGAGCAACTGTAACATCGGCAGCGTTGACCGCAAAAGCCAATAATATATCGTCAAACATACCTACAACAACAACCACAGCAGCAGCACCAGCAGCAGCAGTAGCAGCAGCAGCAGCAACAACTACCACAACAACCAACAACCTAACAACGAAACAAACTCAACGTAAAATCACGGCTTCAAATAATCAGGTGGTTGCTGATGCGGGGGGCGAGGCGGGTGCAGCGGATGCACCGCTGTTGCCACCGAAACCGCATCGGGATTTTTGTCGCGTCGAGTTCCCATATGCACCACAAAACGAAGATGAATTGGATCTGAAAGTGGGGGACATAATCACAGTCATTAGCATGGATTTGCCGGATAAGGGCTGGTGGAAAGGGGAATTGCGCGGCAAGGTGGGCGTGTTTCCGGATAATTTTGTTAAATTACTGGCGCCATCGGAAGGTAAGTGGAAATGAGCATAACAAGCCGCTTTTCGTCATATAATACTAGGTATAAGCGTATAATATATTATTCACGATTACGAATATTGAAATTTGTTGTTGTTTTCTTTATTTCTCGATTTATCGCCTCAACCATTCGCGCTCATCGCGTCTCGCTGTTGTCTGTCTGTCTCTCTCCCTGTCTTTAATGTCCGCCCCTTATCATTACAATATTTTAATTGAACACAATTTTCCGAGCATCGACCATGAAACTATGAGAGAGAGAGATCCGTTTAGATCGGTGTGACAAGTAAACTGACGCGTGACGTTTTCTGAAGCTTGTTGTTTTTGTCGCCTTTATCGTTTTGTCTTCGTTTTCACTGTCTTCGTGACTGTTGTCGCCAGCGCGCATAAAAAGTCAATAAACGTTTGTTTGCTAATTGAATTAATTAAAAAACCACTCTTTGGAAATGAGTTGCTTGCCCCACATTGTGATTGTGAGCGAATTTGTGCAGTCTACATGCTTAGGCAAATGGTTTGAACTGTATGGTATATATGTATAAGTACTTGTATATACATACTTATTAGGAGTTGAGTCACCCCTTTGCTATCACTAAAGACTTGCTCATTTGATCCACTTATGGAGAGCTAGTGAGTGTTTTATTATTCCACATTAACATTAGTTGTCATAATAATTCTTTACTAGATCTAGTAAATAAACCGTTTCACATGTTAAAATTCTGGTTCTCCGTTTAAAAACCTGATGAGACAGTAACAGATTTTACAAAAAATACGAATTAAAGAACTTGTGCCTCTTTATGGTTAAGGATAAGGTTCCCAAAACTATGATTTATTTCATAAACGTAACATTGTAGAAGATATTTCTATTTGTCTCTTTAAATTTGAAAATATAACTCTTATTCTAATTTCAATCCTATTCTTTTTTACATATGTACAGAGACCACTTTGCAAAAACAGGTTTAATGGTGATTGCCATCTTTTTGACTATATCTCGAAAATAATTCCAACATAAAGATTCTATAATTTCTGAAGTTTGCAGAAAAAATTGTCGTTTGTCAAATAAAGTGTTTTTTGAGCCTGTAATTAAGACCGATATAGAATATTCATATTTTGCACAGATAGAATTTAATGAAAGTATGCTAATTATACTGATAATAGCAGAATCTGAACAATCCAAAATGCGAGTGTTATTTTACTTCCTCTTCATACTAAATAAAAATCGTAAATTCGAGGGTTAATTTACTCTCTGTTAATCTTGGGAATTCTACAACCCAATCTTTCATGAACCAGAATTCGATTTCTAAATTTATTTACAAGTCTTACTTCGAGATCTTTTAACTGCAGATAGCTGTTACAACTGCTCCACATATCCACCTAAATACCATGTAATCTCGGGCAACCAAAAAAACAATGATAGCTCTCCTTCCAAAATGCATTTTAAAACAAGTCTATGTATATCACACAATAATTATGAAAATAGCTCCCAACAGACAATTCGGAGATTTTCAATAAAGGTAGTACTCAGTATAGAATTGCCTTTTAGAGACTGTGTTCCCTTATCAGGGACTGCTTCTTTAGCACTTCGTAGTGCATCCAAAGTTCCACACAACCTGCACACCATCCATACATGCGATATCTCACTTGCACCCAACCAACATTAAAAACTCAACGACTCATATACAAACATTTAAACTCACATCTTTTTACTGTTTTGTGTACTTTTTTTTTTGTTTTTTGTTTACTTGCATTTCTTTGACGACTTTTATTGGCATTTTGTTTACTTTTCACTATCGCCTCTTATCTCTTATTTTTCTATATATACCCACTTACGTATGTATATGACTTTATGTCTGTGCGATGTCGTCGCCTCTGTGTAATTTTGTTCCCCTCTATACCATTCTCTATATCTTCTTCTTCTTCCTTTACAATTTTTAAATACATTTCAATGCAACTACAAAAACAAACTGTACATCAACAATAACAACACACTAACTACTACAAAAATATACAACAACAACTACACTGCAAAATGCGCCAAACTGTTGGTCTCCTCCATCCTTCGTCGTCGTCGTCTTCGGCTTGGCAGCGCCTCGTCCCCAGCCCCAACCACGAAGTCGCGGCGGCGTTCCCGGTGGTTTGGGTGCACAGCGTGGTGGCTCATTCGAGTTCTTGGGCGCACGTATGGCCAGCTTTATCACCACGATTTGTATGTAAACGAGTTTTTCCAGTAGGCAGCAGTTGGCAACAACAACAACAACAACTGCAGCAGCAGCTACAACAACAACTAGCACAGCAATTGCAACAACGTTTTTCTTTTCATTTTGGCCAGTTTTCATTTTCTTTTCTCTTGACTCTGCGCGCACAAAAATGGAAAACCTCGCCCGCCTTGGCTTGGCTGCTGGCAATGGAAGGCGCATGTTTATAATTTTTATGATTTATTTTCTCCGTTTGCTTTTCATTTACTATTTGGCTTTCATTAGCCGTCAACGCCTTTGGCTTTTTCGACGCAGCCTTAAATTAGATATCTTCAGTCTTTCCCTTCTAATATTTTTTGGTTTTTCCTCCTTTTTTTTGGCATTTCAAGTTGCCGCAGCTGCAACTTTGTTGCAATTGCTACTGTTGTTGTGGTTGCCTTTGCTAGAGTTTTGTTTAGCCTTGCCTTTAGTTTAAAACACTTTGTTGCACTTGCCAGATTTGAGTTGGTTTTGCGCTTGGTTGGTTTTATAAAGCTTTAGCCATTTATTGAAAATTAATTATTATTTGTTTTAGAAATTGAAAAATCATCTCAAACGGAAGAAAGATCGGTGTGGGGCCGTTACATTGAATAACTAATACTACTTAAAATCATATTTCACTGGAGAGATATTTTTGAAGTCATTAATTTCGTGGATTAACTATAACTATTAAAGTATTTGAGTGTTATTTAGAAAACAACACGGAAGGTAGAAACATTTTGGGTTAAGCTAAATTAGAGTTTATAGTTTGAATAACTAATTTTAAAAAATTGAAATTTTATTCATTATTGCAAAGAACATTTATTATAATATATGGTTAGGCCATTTAAGTTATAGCTGCACGTGTTATTTGGCAAATTAAAAGTGAACAAACAGACTGAGGAGTCTGTTTCTGTTTTCTGTTTATTTCGGGTTGACTGTTAAACAATTTTCTGTTATAAATACAATAATTTAAACATTTAAAAGCCTTCAATCACAAACTTGTTTACATGTTCAGATGTAGGAACCACGTAGCGTTGTTGTCATGCTTATTTGATTAAAATAATAATATGTTTTATTAACAACATCCTCAAACTAAACCATTTTTTGGTTACATAATTTAAAAACCTATTTAAGAGTGCAGCTCTTTATAAGCATTTCAGAATTCGTATGTCTTATGCTAAATAGTATTTGTTCTTAAGAGTGATAGAAAATCATGGCTTAAATAAAGTTTATTATTTAGATTAAAAGCGAAGGAGGAATATAATATATTTCAGATAGATTGGTAAGCCAATTATGGTTTTTATTATAAAGATACATTAAAGTCAGCTACCCTTGAACGATGGCTAAGCGAATTATTGAACGGTTACTCTTGTGCTGCAAATCAAGTTACGACTCTAATATCCTAGGCACATATATTTTAAATAAATATTCAGAAATGAATTTTTGTACAAAGATATGATTTCATTACCTAAGGTCCAAAAAGGTTTAATAAATATCTAGAAAGGCATCTATTTAAGATAGACTGGTATGACAATGGTTTCTAAAACAAAAAAAACAAAAAATATTCGCAACGAAGGTTTGGCCAAATATTAAAAAGCAGTTTTGTGTGTTAATCTGCAGCTGTTACTTTTTCTGCATGATTTTCTGAGCATCCATCTGAGTGGTTTTCGAATTTGCGAATTCCTCAACTTTGCCAGTTTGAAGCATACTTTGCGGTTGCAAAAATAATGCGGCCCTAGCAATAACAAAACAAAACTGAAAATTGTTATTTATTTGTTGGTTTTGAGTTGGCTTTTATTTGTGTGGTTTTGCACATTTATGACTTTGCTGTTAAATGTATTTTTGCTTTGCTTGTTCATTTATTAATAGCAGCAGCAGCAACAACAAAAACGACAACAACAATGCTGCTGCCACCTTAGACGCTTAAACAAGGCGCTACAACAGCAACAAAAGCCGCAGCATTAAAATAAACAACAGTTTTTTGTAACTGGTTTTCTACTACGCGCTTGATTTTTATTTAGTTTTTGTTGTTATTGTTGTTTTTTTTTTGTCAGATCTTTTCTGTTTGCTACTCACAGCAACCACAACAGCAACCTTTTGCTCTTTTGTAGCTCTTAGTTTGCATGCCTTGTTGAGCCGCTCTTAACTTGAAGCTTAGCGTTGATGGAACGCTTTATTATCATAATGAACCTCAGGCAGTGAGCGCATTAGCAGCGATTATCAGCGACCACACAATGGTTGAGTGAGTTGGCTGTGTTGCCAGAGCTGAGCGCCTTTTGTTTTAATGTTTATCAACAAAGTTGCCTCGCTGCTGCGTGCTCTCTGGCCTGGCCGCGCTCTCTTTCGCTGTAAGCCTTTGCGTTACCTTTGCCAGCGTTTTTGTTTACCTTTTTGCCTCAGTACGCTTTGATTTCTTGACCATTTACGTTCGCTATTGGAATATTATTTTGGTGCGGTCGGCAAAAGTGCTATTTTCGTTGTTTTATTTTCCTTCTTTCTGTTGAGTTTTGTTTGCGCTTTCGTTTGGTTCGCTGTGTCTGCTGCTTCTTTAATGGTGCGTGCTGCTCTACACTTGCCGCGTTCTTTACTTTCTTTGCCCAACGAGTGCCTGCAATTGCTTAGCAACAATTGCCACATGGCAGAAAAATCTTCTTTTTTTTCTTTAAAGAAACAGCTGCAAGTAAAGCCATTGACGAGTCGAACAAAGATTTAAAACAAATAAAACAAAAACACTTGCACATAATAATAATAATTAATTGCTTTTGTGTGTTTCTGTAAAATGCGTAGCGCAAATTAAATAAAAAACCGTCAAAGCAATCATCATTAAATCAACGGCAAGTTCGTTGCCTAAGTCTTTCGTTTTATGAGCGAATCTATAGACATATATTCGTATGTGTGTCTGTGTGTGTGTGTGTGTGTGTTTGCCGTTGGCGCAGCTGACAACAACCACGCTGACAAATGTCTATTGCTCCTATTCATGTTTTTGTTTTTTTTTACTGACGCGTCGCCGACTTGCGCCATTTGCTGCCTAAAAACAACGCTAAATTACTCAATATTTTAAAATATAAAAAACTCACGTTCATCGTCTGTATATATGCAGCATATACATATGTACATATGCATGTTTATATATCTTGCTGCTGTCATTTTGTTCAGTCGTCGTTCAGTGAAAGTATTTTGTGCTTTTCATTTGTAATTTTCAATTATGTGCCAATTCATCTGTAACAAACGGATTAAGCCATGACATTCATTCTATGCAGGTCTCACAAATTTTTTCCTCATTTTTGTTGTCGTTTTTTGTTGCGCTTTCTATTGTGTATTTTTTGTATTTTTGTTTTATTTTTTCTGCTTTGCCATTTTTCTGTGCCACTGTCACGTTGTCGTCTACGTCTCATACTATGCCTGACCTTTACACATTTTTGCCGTGTTACTCAATCGTCTTTGATGTTTTTTTTTCCCAATAGCTTTGTTACCCATAGTCATTGATTTATTTATGTTTGTCTGTCTATTTTGTTGTTGCCTATTCGCTTTTGTAGTTGCGTTTGCTTTGCGCTTAGCTCACACTCTTCTGGCTCTCATACTCCTCCGCCTTTTTCAATTTTTGCGCCAATTTATTGACACTTATTGTTAGCCGAGACTCTGGTGCCTGTTTTGAAAGCGAGATCGCCTGAGAATCGATTCAAAACTCGTTTACTGTTTGTTTACACTTAAAAAATTAGTTTTTAAAATGGCATTTAACATTTAAAATGAAATCTAAAGTCGGTTATATTTAAAGAAAATTTTAATTTCGTTTTTTATAGATTAAAATCGTAGCGTTTTTTAAAGTTTAATCAATGTACCAAATGGTTATACCAAAGAATACTTCAAAGAATAATAAATTAATAATGATTTAATAATAAATATAGTATGATCAAAGAAAGTAGGGTAAAAATTTGACTAATTTAAAAAGTGAAAAGATACGGTAAATTAAACGATTTTGTATTTTAAAAAGAAACAAAATGGTTTTTGAAAAAGTTAATCAAAAAAAAAAGTTTATAGAAGAATATAAATTTAGGAACACAAATTAATTCTTTATTATAATATTTTAAAATGTTTAACAAAAGTGGCAGAAAAACCGACAAAATAATTTTAAATAATTTAAGCCAAACAAAAAAAAAACAATCAAATACATAAAGAGAACAATATTTTTATAAAAATTAGCAACAAATTTAATTTAGAAATTAAATGTATTATATTAAAACTTACAATTTTCATTTCGTGCTTAATACAAATAGTTGTTTTAAAATTTCGATTTAGACACTGACAACAAATTAAAGCTGGCGATTTCTTTCAGTTTAGCTCATGTTTCTCTTAATTTTATGCGGCTCAGCTGTTCTAAGTTGCTTTTATTCAGTCACGCCTGTGGCCGTAATTGTTGTTTGTATTGCCACTTGTTGTTGCTCATCTTTAATAATAAATACGACAATTTATGGCGTATTGTTAGACATGTTGACGTTTGCATGAGCTTTACCACAAAAATACCAACACACATATACTATGTACATATACTTATAGCCAAACATATAAGCAGCAACGCAGCTGCTCATTTCAATTTGAGTTAAAACCCAAGCTAATCCCTCATCTTGCCTTCTTGCAGTTGCGCCTTTGAATGAGCCACCAACACCAACACCAGCAGCAGCGGGAGCGGCAACAACGCAGCAAACGCAACGCACGGCATCGAGCAAGCCCAACAATAGCATAGCAAACGCCACTAGCCACATGACCACCACGAGCGCCACAACGTTGACGCAGCAGAGCAGCAGCAGCAGTAGCAGCAATCAGAGCAGCAGCAACGCCGCCTCCGCCACGACAGTAAACGTCTTCATTAAGAAAACTGGCAGCACCCAGAAGACCTCCACGCAGAGTCGTAAGGAGAGTTTTGGCTCGCGCGATTCCCTCAACGACATACTGAGCGAAACGGGCCTGGCCAGCGGTAATGTGGCTGCCCAGCGCAAATCGCTGGAAAACAAAAATCTGGATCTGACCAATCCGGTCAAAAAGCAACAGCAGCAGCAGACAATAATCACAACTACAACAGCGACAAGTTCATCAGGCATGGCCACATCCGAGCTTCGAAAGAGTCTCGATAATATTGATGATAAGGCCAAGTCGCCACCGCCACCGGTGCTCAGCAATAAGCCAAAAGTTCCGATGAAGAAGACACCCACTGGTGGTGTGACAAGCGCGGCAGGTGAGTTATATTTAGTAATTGGGCACGACCAAGGATTTACGGCTGCAAATATTCCACATTTTATCGCTTATTTAAAAAGACAATTCTCACCCCGGTATTAAATGTTGCAGGAACTTAATGAGGAATCCTCATAAAATCTAAAAAATGTAAAAATAGTTTGAGATTCGGAAGAAAACCCTTAAACGAAAATTATCTGAACACAATTGAGATGTTAAAAAATTCACACGTAGCTTATTATATTTATCCTGTCAATTCGCAACTGCAACTAGAACTTTCTCAAACTGGATGAGCTGCTTTTATTTCCAATTTCCATTGAAATTAAAGTTCACAGCATTTAAATCCCTGGGAATATGTATTTTTTTAAGTTTTAATATTTTTAAAGTATTTTAAAGAATAGTTATAATTTTGCTAAGCCAATTAAAAAGAATTTGAATCCCTCATAGGTTTTCTTGGTCACACTTTTTATAAAAACGATTTTCTAGAGTTTCGAAAGAGCAATAAACATGAATTTCAATTATATTATTTAGTCACTTATTGAGGTGATGACAAACTTAAGTATGGTTTCTACTATTAATGAACAAATATTTATGGGGTTTAGTAATGCGGTTAGACGTGTAGAAATTTATTGAAAAGTGTATATACCTTGTTTTGTATAGCCTTGTTTAGAAAATGAAATCTTATTTTGTCTAAGCTTCAAGCTGGATAAGTGCATTATTTCATGGCTGAAATATTTGATTAAAAATTGTAAAATGTCGAAAAGGTTTACTGTTATCGATTGATTGATTGATTAAATAAAATCCTCTGTCGTGCCCATTTAGCTGCGCTTACTAAAATGCGAATGTGTATTAATGCTTTACGATGATCCTTACAGGCAATCTGCTGTCCAACATGATTAAGAAAAGCAGCGACAATAAGCTGACCAGCACTGTTTCCCACGACCTGGCCGATGGACTAGCTGGTAGCAAATTGTCTCCCAGTCATCTGCCCGATATAGGAGCCGCCGGTAATGTCGTCATGCGTCGTGCAGCTACAATTGCTGTGGAGGATACGGATTTCGATCGCGTGGAACGCAACACAATGCTGACAGACATGCGAGCCGATCGCGTCAAGGCGCCCAAGCGTCGGCCACCCTCTTCGGCCATCAATGTGTTGGGCGAAAGCAACAATAATTCGGTGTATGTGAATGGCAGTGGCATGGCGAGCAGCGCCAGTGAATTGAGCGAAGATGGAGGCTTGGGCAAGGCTACGGCAGCCGCTGCTGCCTCCTCTGATGATAATTCCACTGGCGAGGAGCCGCAGCTGGCGAAACCCAAGAAATGCGAAACGAAAAAGGCGCCCTGGTTAGTAGAGCTGAAGGCATCGCAGGAAAAGAAAAAGACTACGCCCAGCGTGGAGCCACGTGGTGCCACATTGGCGGAGCGCACATCTAAGCTGGTCACAAACGATGTCAGCTCCACAACTGCCTCATCATCAACATCATCAGCGGCCACAACAATAAAAGTGCAATCCTCGGCCGTGACCAGCTCGAGCATAATGCAGCAATCGATGTATGTGGAGAGCAGTCAACGCAAGGAGTCTGTGACCACCGCAAGCAATAGCAGCACTAGCACCAGCACCAGCACCACCAACAACGATGCCATCATGTCGAAGAGCATGTCAGCAAAGGCGGCGGCGCCAGCCGCCAGCAGCGATGAGGAAACACGCGCCGCACGCCCCAAAAGCCTCTCCTTACGCAATCGCAGCATACAACCGCTGGCAAAAGCAGCCAACACAACCACCACCAGCAGCACTGTCGCCAGCAGCAGCAGCCATGTGGCTAGCGAGGCGGCCAACACAAGCAGCGGCAGCAATGCGAGTCCAGCGCCTGCAGCATCCACAAAACTGCTCAACAATCATCATCAGCCTAATGTGGGGCACACCACAGGCGTTGGCGAGCCAACGCGCGTGCTCGATCTGGAGCGCCGTGTGGACAAACTGGAGTCGATGGTGCAGACCCAGCAGCGCACTATCGAGGAGCTGATACGTGCGTTGCGTGAGGAAACGGATCGCGTGAAATTGTTACGCGGCGAACTCGACAAATATGCGCAGTGCGTGACGCAAGTTTGATGCAATTTGATAAACATCATCAATCCAAAACAAATCATCAACCTATCAATCACTATTAGCATCTTTGAATTGTTGTTTAGTTGCCCCCCGAGAGCTTTCCTCCTGTAGTGGAAATTCTGTTCTTTATACGACGTTTGTACGAACCTTGAAAGTTTGTGAGTTTACATTGGAAATGCTTTACCAGCCTATAAGAACGACAAATCGAATTTAGTCAGACTTATATGTGGTTTAACAAAAAAACATGATGCATGCAAATTCTATGTATTTATGACCAATAAATGCATATACTTTTGTATTTTTTTAAATTTAAAAACTCACACCTTTTACACTTCTGTATAAATGAGTAGTAGGTTATTCACAATCGATCTGTTGAGGTCTTTAACTGATCTACTGTGAACGGCCTATAAGTATTTGCTAGCATTAATGCTCGGTTTTATTTTCGAAACTTTTCGGTGCGAACGGCCACAAGCTGTCAGTTACTTTTTTTTACTCTACATTCCAATGCTTGTCGAACCATGTATGTGTGTGTGCTGCATTTAAATAGGCCAAGGCGACAATATTTACATACTACTACTACTATACTATCTAAACACTTCCAATCCCAACTACATCAACTGAAAACGAAAAACCTGTACTTAGCAATCAAGTTTATTTTAGTTTTCTTCTAAGCAATTGTTGTACACTAATTTGTATTAAATAATTATGTAAATGTTAAATTTGCCATTCATTTCGCAAACAAACAAGCAAACAAAAAACAAAACAAAAAAACATTGTGTAATAAACTGCATGCAATATTTTTCAAGAATATTTTAGAGTACCAACTATTTTCTTACTACTTTTCTATACAATATTATATTATACACCCAAAGTTTTCAATTTTTCAACATTTTTTGTGGGCATTGTGTGATTTTCTTCTTAATTTTTATAAAAACGAGCTGCGCTTTTGCATTAATCAATTATCAATTGTTTTGTTTATAAATATGATTTATTTTTATTATGTATTAAAGTTATTAAAACAAAATGTATTTTGTATGATATACTAAACCTAATTAAAAAACATATGAAAACGGTAATCTTAAGCAATATAAATAAATGAAAATAAATCGTGCAACCTTTTATATGCATTCTTTTGTTTTCCTAAACCTAACATCATATCAAGAATACAATTTACTAACCTATAAAGCATATCATGCAACAAAATAAACTCCATGACGAAAAATATCTTGGATAGAAAGGGGATAACTGATGCTACGGTCTGACATGCAAATAATTGGCCCGAATTTGTGATTTTGTAGAGGTATGCTTCGAAAAAAATTACACAGGGTAGTTTTGTAGAAAACAACCATATTTTAGTATAGAATTCAAATTGGTTTTGATTGAAATTACATAGTTTTAAAATGTGTTATATTGGTGTGCAAATTATTTGCCTGTCTGACCATAACTTTACAATATCCATTGATTTAAAGTTAATATTCAAAACGTATAATCATAATTTTAGTAGGTCTTAAAGTAAATATCTCGTGCGGTAATATTGTTGACCATTAAAATACACTGTAATGCGGGATTCTTTTTATTTTTCCTATTTAGTATAACAGTCGCGGACGTTTTTATATCCTGTACCCATATGGTTTAAGGTATGCTAGCTTAGTGCGAATATGTGTAACACACAGAATGATTATGATTTAGGTAAATGCATTAATGGATGTGCATATTTCAAATTTTATGGTAAAAATGTTAATTTAAAAATCCAACTACTATAATGATTATAGTTTTTTGGCTATAATATTTCTGGACTTTCCATTCGAATTAAGGTTTCAATATGTGAATTTTTTACCTATGAAATGCGACCCATTGAGTGCAAATTATTTTCCCGTCTGACCATAGCTTCTTAAAGAGTTATTTTTTTCATTTATGTATCTTTTATTTGAACCAGCTTTACTTAGGTAGTTCAAAATAGCCGCTGAAGTAGAATTTTCAATGGTATACTAGTTAGTTCCAGTAATGACTTACAATAGTTATTTTCCTTAAATTGATTTATTGTTAAAGTTACTTAAAATGTTACTTGAAAAATAATAAAGTAATGTTCCTTCTATCCAAGATAATTTCATTCATAGTACTATGTGTATCGCTCAATTACTTCTAGAGTCCCCGTAGTTTTTAATGTAAAGCTGCATTTGCGAACTCAATTAATAAATCGCCTTAAATATTTTTCCTGTTACATTTTTATGCAGAAAACAACAGACGCGTCGTGGGAAATTTGATAATTGGATGTTTTAAATGCCAACAGCAGCAAATAAAATTTTGAATCCACTTGTGCTCAGATGTACAGCAAATCCTTTTATTTTTGTGATAAATTATAACATACGTATATACATACATATTAGATTCAATATAACACGACTTGCATTTCAATATTAAGAACATGAATATTATTACAATATTTTATATAAGCAATGATATGTAATTCTCGCTTAAAACTTTGCTGCCCTTAGAAATGTTAATCAAATGTTTGCAGTTTATTTTGGAAATAATTTTTGCTTGTAAATATTGTACAATTATAATAAACATTAAACAATAATATAATTGAAATAAAACAATTGATTAAAACACACAGCTAGGCGATGATGACTCGCTGGTTTAATAATAAATAGTTGTTGGAATCATTTGAAAGGCGATGAAGGATATGCGTTGGCAGAATTTAACTATTTAGAACTAGAGATGGACTTGCTTGTGCACAGCCGTGCGTGTTAGTGCTCGAAAACGTAGCTCAATCATAAAATTGCACGACAAAAAATAACATAAAATTGCTTAAAAGAAAAAGTATTTTTACAAAAAAAATATTTGTTTTTTTAAGCAAATTCTTAAGTTACACATTCTTTCATAATTCGTTCTGACCCTTCCGTGAACTGAGCCTGAAATAGGTTAGTTAAAAAAGTAATATCAAAATGCCATTAAACATTATTAATCATCGTTAATATTAATTTTTGAAATGGGAGAATTTGAAATAGAATTCTAAAATACATATGGACTTCAAATAGAAACCTAAACTAAGGTGTGTGTACGCGATGAAATGAAAGTCGATGAAAGCTCAAGAATTGGTTTGAAACTCGACTAACCTAGAGCGGCACTTGTTGCTGCTTGCTGGGCCGACCAGCTGTGTATTTGTTGTGGTCAGAAAAAGTGGACTTTAAGTTTTTTGCTAATCAGCAGCAGCAGCAACAACAAAATAACAACAACAACAGGTTGGAGACTAAGAAATATGCGAATATGTGTAAGACCGCTTGATGGGAGCTGCACAAAGCTGCACGAGACAGACGAAGCTTAGCTTTGACAGTGGAACGAACGAACACGCAGACGCCAAACAGTGGGTTTGTCTTTGTTGTATGTGTTGTTGTTGTTATTGTTGTTGGTTTTGTGGGCTTGTTTGGTACGCTTGCGCGAATTGTTGTTTATTGTTGTTGTTGCTGTATTTCTTGTATTTGTTCTGTGGCAGCACAAACTAAGCAAATCAAGTCAAGTCAGTACGTCGCCCCTTCTCACTCTCTCCTGCCTGACTGACTGGCTGGCTGGCTGCCTTGCCAGGTTGCTTGCTTGCAGCTTCGATGTACTTGTGCTTTTGCCTTTCTTGAGCTGAGCTGAGCTCTGCTGGTGGTGGTGGTTGCGGTGGTTGTGGTGGTTGCCTTGGCACTTGGCGGTGGCTGACGTTCTGTGAGTGGCTCAAGCAGCTGAGCTTTTGCTTCTTGGGCGCTACTAGCCAGCCAGCCAGTCAGCCAGCACTTATCAGTTTCTGATCGCTGTGGGAATTCAGTTAATTGTGGACGCTGTAGCCAAACGGACGCACACACGGCACACTAAAAATAAAACAATTTACAACACACTTTATAAAGTTGAATTGTTAAATTAACCGTTGTTGTTGCAGTGCTGTTGTGGGGCGCGCTTTCTGTTTTCTGTTCTTCTAAACATACTCGTATGTCCATCGCGTGAAAGTGATCGTTAAATTGGGGAGCTACTATTAAACAATTTGCTAAGCAACACAGCTGAAAACTTATTTAAGGACAGGGCCAAAAACAAAATTTAAATGCAAAAAACGCGCATTCGCCCCGTTGTCTGTAGAACGTAAAGGTAGGCGCCAAATAAATTAAACATTTCGATAAAGTCAGTTAAATAAAAAGTTTTCAGAGTGTGTTCGCCTGTGAGTGTGCCAAGTGCCGAGTGTTTGTGCGTAAGTGCGTGTCATTAAAGAGTCAGAATTAATTTTGAAATGAAAACGAGTATTTAATCGAAAAAAAGATCGGTCCGAAAAATAACAAATAAACAAACGAAAATTTGATTGAAAAAATAACAGCAACTACAACACGTCGCAGCTACAATTGCAACAACTATAGAAAGCAAAACAATCAAATCAACTTAAGGCAGCTATAAAAACAGCAACAACAACAACAATACCAACAACGATAGCAACAACAACAATCCGACAACTACACGGGATTAAAAGCTTAACAAATGTGGTGGGTGCATTGGTAAGCTGTATGCGAAAAACGAAAAAGTAACGGTTAATAATATGCCAAGCAGAAACAAAAAAAAAGTTGAGACACCAAAGAAAAAAAATCACTTCAACCCAAAAGGCTAAAATTGGCCAAAACGTTTTTTCTGCGCAAACGCGTTTTTTTATGCTTAGCATTTTTTGCTTGCTATGACTCGCAGCATTTTTTTAGTTGTTTTTGTTTTAATTTTTGCTGCTTGCTCAACGGCCGTTTGTTTTTTTTTTTTTTGTTTCTGCAGCGGTATAAAGTGGATTTGTCTTCAATTGTAATAAAAATCTGCGCAGTCCAGTAACGTGGCTTAAAACCCAGCACTGCGCTGGCTTCGCTGCACACTGCGCCAAATAAAAAATTATGTCGGCCAAATAGAGCGCAAAAGAAAAAAGGCATTAAAAAATACTTGGACTTACGTCAAGGTCATGGATGAAAGTATGTGTGTGTGTGTGTGAGTGTATCAGTTGTTGTTTGGCTCCACTCTCTTATGATTACCGTTACTAGAGGCCTTTGTGGCCGCCCTGCCAAACTTTGAAATGGAGCGTTCACTGTCTCCTGCGTTTTATTGCTTTTTTTGATTGACAGGCGAGCAGGAAACTTTTTGATTTAGCAGATGTTTATCATCAAAGTCCAGCAATAACAATAACAACAACAACAAAAGCAGCAGCAGCAACAACAACTGCAACAGCAGTCAACTCTTTGTTTTGAACTCCATTTAGTTTTTCTTCTTTTATTTTGATGGACAAATGATGTGGAGCTTGAAAAATTGGGCGTTTGTAGTGTTGGCCCTTATGTGGGGCTATAATTTTAACGCGCCATATCTTGTTAGGGTTTTGTATTACAGCCAGCAATTGACGGTTTTGTGTAATTAGGGCTGGGTTGTGATATGCGCATGAATGTACCAATGTGTTTGAAGGACTTAAGCCATGCAAATGGGCACAAATGAATGCTGTGATGGCTTACTCTTATAATGATTTTGAAATATAATTGCTATTCATTTCAATTATTGTAATTTTTTTTTATTTGGGGAAATTTAAAAATATTTTTATAATGAACCTCTTTAGGCAGCTTTTTGTTTAGTTAAAGGAACCGGAAATTTTTGGCATTTAAGAAAGTGAGAAAAGCCATATCTTTAGATGTACTAGTACATAGAGACAAGTATACTATAAAGAAGACTGAGAAAAGTTAAATTGGGATTTTAAAATATCTGAATTTAAGCTATATATGTATATATATATTTTTTGTTCAGATTTATTTTGAAAGTTTACAATTACTTACTTTATGTATACTTACCTTCCGACATCAATATTTAAAAATGATATTTTACTTTACTTTTTCAAAAATATGGTCTTCAAAATAAACAGAATTGTGCTTCATTATTTTGATAGTCAAGAAAATATAGCCATTAATTAATAGTATACAATTAACTTCCAATAATGAAGCAATTAACGAAAATCGACAAGGCTAAGTCACATATTTTTGTATGCAATTAATAGACTTGAATTTTGTAAAACAAGACTTTTCACACTTCTGCGCACGTGTCTGAAAATTCTTGGCACATCCACAATCAATAATTAAACATCAAGCAACTAAATAATTACGATTTCCATTACTACACTTTTGCTGAAATTCTGTGCCGTCCATGATTGCAAAAAAAAAGAAAAATAACTAACCAAAACGTTGGGAGCTGAGGCAGTGGCGTGCTTCGAAACTCGTTTAACAATTTTTAAAACAAATTATTATTAAATGCTAAATTGCAATGTACACAGTGGTTGGTTTTGTTTATCAAAGCCCAACAAACACTTTATAAAAGCGGCAGTAACAATCATGTTGAGCTTTGGCCAAAACAATTAGAGACTGCAATAATAACAACGACCAAGAGAACGCGTCGCACATTTTGTAAATAGTGTAAGACAAAATGACAAACTGAAAAGTTGGTAAACTGACAAACTGGTTGCACTTTTTTCTGCACATTCATGAATGCACGCAGAGAAAAAACGAAGATGCTTTTGAAGGAATAGAGTACAAGATGATCAAAATACAGTTTTGGAAGGACGATCAAGTGAATGTTGCGAAATGTTGTGCCTTCAACACTTAATATAATGTCCACCTCGATCAGCAGATCATCTATGTGCCCCTGGGAGTTTTGTCTTCGTCTTAGATTATCAATTAATGTTGTCATCCAATTATCATTTCTTCCTGCCTCCGTCTTAGATTATCAATTAACGTTGTTATTCAATTAGGTGTCTTCATTATTAGTTATCATTTCTTTAAAATCTCTGAAGAATTTCAATTTATCTACATTTTATATTTTTGTCGCATGTTTGTTAAAATGTGACCTTAAACCTCGAATCTCTGAGGATTTCTGCCGTTTTTTGAATTGTGATATCTTTTTTAAAGTCCACCAGTACGTTACAAAAATACTTCTTTTACATTCGAAGGACAACTGAAAAAAAGTATAAATACATAACTATATCAACTATTACTATTCAACTAAGGCGTTTTTATACATTCATTCAAAATTTCTGCATATGTCTATGCTTTAAACTAACAGAACGGTGAAAATATTTTTAAATTCTGTTTTATTTAAGTTCACGTTGCTGAATAGGACAGGAATTTTGTAACTGCTTTTCAACACTAAGAATTCTCTAGTTGCAACTCTGATTAAAGTGTTGTAAATACATGTACACATCTAAGTTGAGCTATCAAATTGTATAAAATTCCTTGTGCTGCTTTTTAGTTTTATTCACTTCATGCTCGGCAGCTGAGCTGACCAGGCATTATGTTTCTATTTTCGTTTTAAAATATTTTATTTTTATGATTTTTTATGTCGATTTTTTAATTTTGTGTTTATTGGCTTATATTACAACTACGCAGCAGCAAGAAGTATCGTTTTTAAATTTTATTTCATTAATAACTTCGTTGGTTAATATAATACTGAACCTATGCAATATTTTATTTATTTAATAAAT